ACTTTCGAATTATTGAAAGTTTTTTTGGCTCCGGACGGGTTTGCTCGCCCAGTGTGGACTGTGAATGGACAGTGAGTTTCACATTCGAATGGATTGATTCTAAATGTGAACTTCAATCTTGACAATTCGTTTGTTTTTAAAAGGTACCCCGCCCCAATGATTCGTGCAAACATTGGTGATACATTTAACATCACAGTGATCAACCATCTCGGCGATCCTTCTACAAGTACGTTGAGCATGACAAGATTTGATATAATGCGCGCCGATCATTTGCTAATTCCTTTAACATCTTAGTTCACTGGCACGGGATTATCCAGAAAGGTACCAATTGGTATGATGGCGTTCCCGGAGTCACCCAGTGTCCAATTCCAAATGGGGCCGACTTTTCATACGTGTTCACCCTCCAGCAATCCGGTACCTATTGGTATCATTCTCACCTTTTGGCTCAGCTTGCCGATGGCTTAAGGGTAGGGAGGGACACTTGACACTTTAATCTATCGAAATTTCTTGTTTATATGAAAGGATATGATGATAACGTTACTTGATGTTTCAAGGGACCCATGATCATTCACGATCCTAATGATCCTAATAAAGATAGGTATGACTACGAGTACGCGATGACAGTGTCTGATTGGTATCATACTCCTACCGGAGATCCCGGAATGCTGCCTCTGCTTCATAGTGGTACGTTATCAACAAGTATCTCTAATCTCAAATTAATGCGGAGGGGAATAACAACTTCCATCTTGATTTGTAGCAAACTATACTGGTTTGGACCCTGTCCCCGATTCCGGAGAAATCAGTGGTGTAGGGCAATATAAATGCACAATTCCAAACTGCACGCCTTCTAAATTCGCCACCTATAAGGTCAAACAAGGAAAAAGATATAGGTTTAGGATAATAAATATAAGCGCAATGTCACATTTTGTAGTTTCCATCGACAAACACCCGCTTACCATTATCGAAGTTGATGGAACGCCGACTCGTCCGGCCACAGTCGAAGTACTTCCAATTAATGTTGCTCAGAGATATTCCGTGGTCGTTTCGGCGAATCAACCGATTGGAAATTATTGGATCCGAGCACGCCTTTCAAATTGCAGTCTTCTTGTTAACGATGACACGATTAATGCCAATTCTTCTGTATTCGGAAATGAGAACATTACTGGTATTCTTGGATATTTCGGCGCTTCCTCGACCATTCCCGACTCAAAACCATACGATGATAACGCAAGGACGTGTTACGACGTGGATTCTAGTCTACTAAAACCCTACCCGCTAAATCCACCAGTACCACCACAAAACGCAAATGTCAGACGCATTAACATGAAGATCAATATTCAAGTGATAAATTCCCGTATCCAAGCAACGTTAAACGACTCATCATATGTTCCGGACTTTACTTATCCCTCCAATCAAAAGGTGATTGACGGAACGGATTTTGTGTCATCTGATAACGCCTATTCTTATAACAAATTAAACGAGCCCATCGAGATTGTTTTGAACAACACCCTAGACCAAACGCACCCTTTCCATTTGGTAAGTTTCAATTGTGGAACTTTGCCAAGTCCTCAATTATTATTATTGTTGTTGTTGTTGTTGTTTGACACCTCATTTACTGTATTTTAAAAAAAAAAATAGCATGGACACACATTCTGGGTTGTCGCTCAAGGTGAAGCGGGTAGTTATAATAAATCACTTGATTCCTTGAAGCACAACTTTGACAATCCTCCTTATCGTGACACGGCGACCATTAAAGAGCTTAGGTAATTTTCTCGCCTTCTTCATCATTGGAAAGTTATCACGTGAAATGCGTACGGTGTGTTGACTAACAGGGCTTAAATTTACAGC